ATTTTTTCTAATTTTTCAATATAATCATTACGATCAAGTATTACGACACCACGACCTTTATCAGGTTTAGTAATTAAAATAGATAGATCTTTGGATAACTTTAATAATATTTTGTCATCATTATTTCCATTTAAATTTTTATCTTTTCTCATCTTAATTGACATTTGTGCATGTTGGAAGAATTTTTCTGTTGCATTTTTTAAATCTGCTGCGAGAGATAGTTGTTTTGGTTCTAAAACTCGAATTTCTTTATTTGCAATGTCATCAGGATCTTCATCCCATTTTTTAAAATCAATTGATTCTTTTCGAATTTTAGAAGCCTGGTGGAATAAATATTCAACATTGGAGATTACTTTAGAGCGATTAATTGTGCAAGAACGGTTGTAAGACATTCCTTTTTCTAATACACGAAGCTCTTCTTCAGTTAAATTGCGATTCGAGAAATTCCATACTATTTTTGGTTCAGTTGTGTTTTTATCAGTTGTATTTATCATCGGCTCAGTTGAATTAGTATATAAAAGATAATGTTTATTATTTTTTTTCTGTTGTTGTTTATCTCTATTATTAATTAATGCCTGTAATTTTTTGCAATGCCCCCAATATTTAATACTTTTTTCTTCAAACTGGATTTCATCAATAATTTCATTAATTTTTGTCATAATGTCAGGTGGAAAAATATTTGCTAGTACATCATATGTTTTTCTTACTGACATAGATAAATTTTTTATACTGTGTTTTTTCAAGTTGATTTCTTCTTTCAAGAGAATATGCTGGCATTTGATATATGCTTTTGTGTAAAATAACCTAGGATTTGAAGCTTTAAAATAAAGAAATCTCGGCATAAGATTGTTCCATCTACATTCATTTAGATAACTTAAGTCACACCAGAGACGTACTAGTTTAACCGTAGTTTTCTCAAAATACTGATATGTTTTGTAAGCCGTGTGACCATAATATTGCTTTATAAAGAAAAATCTTGTTTGAGTTGATAACGGAAGAACTTTCATGTTGAGTGCATTTAATTCATTATTGGTAGAGTCAGAACTCATAGTTTGCGATATTAAATAAAATATTTATTGTAAAAAGTTAGACAATATAAAAGCCCAATTGATGTAAATTAAAATAACAGAGACAAAGTAAAACTTATGAAAAAAACAAACGTATATAGTATAATACTAAACAGAAGATGAGAGAAATATTAGATCACCTATAAAAGAAAATAATATATAAGAGATATATTTCTAAATACAACATACCAATAGATTAAACAATTAAAATAATACAATTTTAATACGAAATGAAATGACAATGATATAGACAGATCTAAAAAAGAAAATAATATTGAAAGAATCTTTGTCCCAAATGCAAAATACCAATAGATTAAATAATTAATACAAGATAATTTTAACACGAAATGAAATGACAATGACGTAGTAAGACCTAGCAACAAAAATAATATAGAACAGATATATTTCTAAATACAACATACCAATAGATTAAACAATTGAAACAATATAATTTAAATAGGAATGCAACGATAATGATGAAGAAAGATCTAAAAGAAATAACATTGAAAAGATATTTTTTCTAAATACAACATACCAATAGATTAAACAATTAATACAATATAATTTGCATACAAAATGAAATGACACTTGTACAGATACGCCTAAAAGTGAAAATAATATTGAAACAATTTTTTTCCCAAATATATTATGCCAATAGATTGAATACTTAAAACAGTATAATTTAAATGTTAAACAAGACTATAATATAATGATGAAGAGTGATCTAAAAGAAAAAATAATAGTGAAAAGATATTCTTCTAAATATAACATACCAATAGGTTACAATAGATTTAAAACGTAAAAACCTATTTAGGTAACACGGATTTGTGAACCTACGAGATTGTTAAATAACAATGCACAATAATGCGATGATTAAAGAAACCAATATGATAAAGGACGTATAATAAATGTATCAAAGATTATTAATTAGTTTGTGTTGCTGAGTTAATGGTGAGCAAAGATCTATAACAAGAAAACAGTCTTATGACAATAAAAATTTGGATAAAATTTATAAAGCATAAAATTTGTAGAGACATTTTTAAACAATATTGAACTATAGAGATAGACGTCTCTATGTGATGAAATCAAAATCGTTCTAAAAACTGTACGATTTAGCTGGAAGGGCTGCTCACTACAAAAAAATTACATACAACCCTCATAAGCCCGATTATCGATGTTTTCTGAACAAGATTTGAATATTCCTTATTAGATTCAGTATCATAAGATACGCAAACATATCTATCAGATAAGATAGGTGAAGCAAATAGTATCAAAGTAATCTGCTCATGTCGTACCTGCACATACTCACTATCAGAAGAAAAAGTTTGCATCTTTATATAATTCAGCACATATCGATGAGTGCAAGTTATTACTTAGTTCTTTTGGCAAGAACAGCAGTACACAGATGAAAATCAAAAAAATAAAACGAGCTGGGAAAAAGAGCTGCGAACCTTACACAAATGCACCGTTATAATCATTATTAGATTTCAACAGTCAAAACACAATGGTGATATTTCAGTAGTCAGATACTGCAAATAAAAAGATAAAAACGACAAGAAAAACAAATTCTTCATTACAAATAAGTGAGCAAAAAACAATGTATTGACCCAAATAGTTAAGACACATGGTATTTGAAAGAGTGAAACATACCTCAAACATAAATATCATACCAAAGCGCAGAACGAGCCACAAGAATATAAAGGACAGAAAATGTTACTTCTGTCATAAAAGAATGCAAACAACAAAACTGACAGCATCCCATGCTATAACATGTAAGGAATATAACGCTCTAACCATGTACTCTCTATACTAAAGCAAAATCTTATCTTCATGCAGACATATTTTCCTTTGTTGTTCATCAGAAGAGCATACATATATATATATCGTATCATAAACGGAAAAGAACTCACAACAAAATAATACAGAGATCTTCCAGAAATATTCATACAAGAAAGAAATATAAACAATGCAAAAAAACTGCATCTGAATGCATATCAACGATACATAATTTCTGTGAGACCTTAATTCCACTTGTATTTTATTTGCATAACTGTCTCTATCTTTAATCTCAATGTCTCTCTCCACAACAATGTAACCATACATATAGAATGCTCATAAACGTTCGAAAATACCATTTAATAATTCCACAAACGATGAACACACGAAGCAAAAATCCAGAGAACAACATTCAAGAAAGAAGAGAAGAGCCATAGCGAAAATATCCAAAATAAACAATAGCAAAACGAACATTTAGGCACCATGACTAACAATACGAGAAAAGAAGAAGACATTACCTACATGCGTATACTCATACAAAAACCTATGGAATACAGCTAATGACCGCATCTGAAAAAAAAGCATGTCAAAAACCTCCATACATACTACACAGAAGATTAAACCAAATTATGAATTCCATCAACCACACAAAAATGCAATTAAAATAGCAGCAAAGAACCATACACTCCACTATGAAAGAATAATACACGTTGCCATCCATACTTGAACGAAAAAACAACATATGATCTATAACAAATCTACTATATAATAACGCCACAAATCTGAAAACAACAGAAAGAATACATTATTCATCAAAACAACACTGATAACCAATCGGTAAATTCCAGTACAACTTCATATACCCTTAAAAAACATACTCGAAAGACATCCAGCATTACCACACAGAAAACTTATCCAACAGAGAGAAAGCATAATCAATGCAGCCACCGCACTAAGCTAGAAAATCTCGCAAAATATGAAAATCCCACCCTACAAACCTCGATGCATAACACATAGACTCAAAATACATCCTCATTGCCTGAATAACTCACAATAATACAACCCATTCAAGTCCATCTTCATAACTAACAAACATCCAGCCCTGCGAAATAAAAACCTCTCCCATCGACCATCAAAACTATTTTCCCAATTCACCTATGCATAAAAAAGCAAACCATAATCATAAGGAACTATAATTCAACCAAAAAAACATAACATACACACACCATAAATTAGCATCTCAAAACCATACTCAATCGCGACCTTCTTTCAGAAAACCAACATTTTCCCCACCAAGAAGTTCAATAGGCAAAAATACAACATCATGCTGAATTAATACTGATGATGGGCCGGTTGAAGCCCGAAAGCTCTGTTAAAACAATATTTTTATTAAAATCATTAAATATATATAATTAATAGAAATTAACTTCATTTTTCGATTTTGTTTCATTTTTACTTGAATTATATGTACAAGTCCTATTTTCATTATTCTTTTTATGATTATTTTATTTAAATTCGAAGTTCAATAGGCAAAAATACAACATCATGCTGAATTAATACTGATGATGGGCCGGTTGAAGCCCGAAAGCTCTGTTAAAACAATATTTTTATTAAAATCATTAAATATATATAATTAAT